AGAGACCTGACAAAGTGCCTGCCTCCTGGCCCAGTCCTAGATACTGCTGCAGCCACCCAGGGAGTGAACCAATAGATGAAAAATCTGTCTTTCCTTCTTTATCTATAACCCTGACGCACAACGGAAGATTATCCTTTTTCCAATAATGATAAGAAGTTTAATAGATATGACTTAATATGAGGTGACAGAAAAACATGTCAATAAAATTGCCCAACAAACAGCAGATACGTCAGCAAAGTTGAGGAGAATATGGAACAAAACATATGATAGTCATGGGTTAAAATGACTTTTAAGAGTCCTAAAATACAAAACTGCATTTCTTCCTTTTTCAAATCTACTTATTTATTTCACTTTTTATTTGAGAAGCAGAAGATCTTTCAAAAGTTGATTCCCTTCCCAAATGCCTGTAACAATCAGTGCTGAGACAGACCTGCGGTCCATTTGAGTCTCTCACACAGGTGGCAAGGACTCAAAACACCTGGGCCATGACCTGCTGCCTCCCAGGGTGTGCGTTAAAGAAATCTGGACCTGAAATATTAAGAGGAAGCTGTATGAAAGCAGAATAGCCAGGGATGAAACCAGGGACTCTGTGAGATGGGACATGGGCATCCGTCCCAAGCACCTGCTCCGCTGCCCCAAAATCTGCCCCTGTACTCTCTCTTTAAAGACACCTGTATGGAGCAGCACATTAGATGCAGCTCTGAGTCCGAAAATATAACACAAAGTAACACAAAACAACTACTACTCCTCTGCAGTTTACTTCTCCCAGGGAAGAAAAACGAGGCATACTGGACTCATGACCATAACAAATATGGAACTTTCAGGTTAATACTCCTTGAGTAAGTTCTACATGGGAAGAAAATTTTTACCTTCTTATTTTTCAGAGTTTTTATTTTACTAGTTAGAAATGTATGCATGCCTTAACAAACAGCAGCCACACAGACGCAAGTAAATTAGAGTTTGTTTTTTAACATACTAACTTGCCCATTATAAAACTCTTATTTTCTTTCTTTATATCTCAAAGTGTTTTTTGGAATTGGGTCAGTCCTTCCAAATGATCACAAAGGATGACGAGGCTAGGGAAAAATGACACCAAATGGCACAATGGAAAGCGCAGAACTTGGGGATCAGATAAGGTCTGAGTTCAAATCCCAAAGTATAAATTTTATGATCTTAGGCAAGTTATTCAATAGCTCCAATCTATTGGAGCTCCAGTTTACCCATCTACAATGTGGGAATCACTTCACTTTAGGGAGTAAGGTTATAATTTCTAGAAGGCGTCTGGCACAATGCTTGGAAAAAGGGAGCAACGGGTACAGCTACTCCTGTGACATCTACCACTGTTACAGCATACACACCACACAGCAGAAACTCAGGGACGCGGGCGGGGGACTGCCTCTGCTCTTCTCCCAAGTCACTAGGCTATTCCATTCTACTCTTCTGCAGGTTCCGCAAAGCAAGGACTTCAAACAACTGAACACCTATTGATTTTATAAACAGGTTTAACATCCCTGCTTGGTGGCATGTATTTATGCTCCCAGAGAAAAACATGAATGGCGATGTCATAAGCAGAAGAAAATGATCACTGAGTGATAAGAATTCACATACAAATGAATGAAAACGGTGCTGTCTTAGAAATACTCCAAAGATTCTATAGTTACTTTTGTTAAACTGACACCATTAACCTTATCCTCTGTAATTAATCACTTCTGTAGCAACTTACATTAGGAAAAAAAAAATTAAGTGACTAACTTACAAGCACAGAATAACCCAAATTTTATAACATCTTCAACTTTAATCCTCAAGTTGTCCTGAGGATTAAACAGTAAAACACATAGGAACATGCCTGGCCAAGCCCCTGGCTCAGAGTTTGCACTCAGCGATAACTAGAGAAGCCTAATCCTGTTGTTATCACATGTTCCTTTCAATTATTGAAAAACACCTGTGATGCCAATTATGAGAGAGGATTTACAGATCTAAAAATCTTAAAACATACAACAGCTTGATGCCCTTCCAAGCCAGAAAGGGATCCGTGCAACACTTTCTGGCTAACTGACACAGAGGTTTATGAGTTACATCAGGATATGTATCACTTGGGACCAGCTGCTGCCTATGACACCAGCATCTCATCCATGCACTGGTTTGGGTCCCGACTGTCCCACTTCCCATTCAGCTCCCTGCTAATGTGCCTGAGAGGGCAAGGGAGGATGGTCCCAACACTCAGGACCCTACATTCATGTAGATGAAGTTCCTGGCTTCAGTCTAACCCAGCCCCAGCCGTTGTGGACATTTGGGGAATGATCAAGCAGATGGAGGATCTGTCTCTAATTGTGCCTCTCAAATAAGTAGAGTGTATATGTGTGTGTGTGCGTTTCACTGTGATCAAAACCACCATTTTAACTCATCCCAAAAAATTCTTCAGCTGAAAATACAAGTCTTTTTAAAGGACCAGAGGCAAAAGTTCTTCCTACTTTCAGTTATTAAAAACACAAATTCCAGAAGCCCACAAGATATGATGGTATCGTCAAGACCAAAGTCCCAACTGTTTTCCCCCTGAGTCAGCCTGGACACCAGCTAGTACAGACAGGGAATGTCCACAGTATCAGGGGAGCCCCTTCCCTCACACATGACCCCATCTGAGACAACCAGTTTCAGGACTGCTTCTTCCCCACCACAAGGCTCTTCTCCAATCCTCTGGACTCCCAATGCAGCCACTCGGACCTCTCTCCCCCGCGGATCCTCCCTCATACACACAGGTGGCTTCCGTATTTGCATCTACCAAGTGCATATCCTGAGAACATCCCAAAGTCACTGTCCACAAAACACAACTCCAAACTGAACTCACTTGAGACCCGCTGCTCTTGAGTGCCTGCATCTGTGAGCAGCATTATGGTCACCCAAGCCAGGATTTCATTTTCTTTCCCTCATCACGCTGCTCCCTCTCCCCAGCAGTACACCAGCTTCAAGAAAGACCTGGTTGTCTTACCTCCGTAATACCACACAGCACACCATCACTGCCTACATCCAGGTTTTACAATCACTGTCCTGACCAAGGCCAACACATCTCCCCAGGCTTCTCAACACCTCTCACACCCAAAGTAGGTGCACCTGCTCTGAACATCACAATGCTCTGGCTATGGAGAACCCCACTGCCCTGCCAAGCGGTGCTGGATTTTCACAGCTTAAAGGACTCTCATTTCAGCCTTCCTTCCATTCACCTGATCATGGAAGCTCCTTGCATCTGTATGTATTTTTAAATACTCTGGCTCCACCAGCAAGGCCATGTTAGCTCTGACTCCCAATGTAAAAGCCACCGTGCCATGAAAATAAGAGCAAACCGGGTATGCCGTGCCACCGCTCTTGGGGTCTCCATTTGTTCAGGCTCCTACCTATTTCCCCAGTCTTGTCGTGCTCCATTTCATTTTACCTGGTCAGCCACCCCCTGCTCTCTCCAGCCTGCCACGATCAACCCTTATCCCCAAGCTAAGAACTCTGTCTGGCTTACCACTAGTAACTTAGAACCTAAAACAAAAGTGTGCTTAACTTGTATGTGTGTATGAATGCAACTCACCAATCAGAACACTTTAAGTTACACATCCAGCCCCTCCACCCACGGGTCCTCCAGTGGCTTAGTTTCTCCATTCATAAAGCTCAATGCTAAGTACCCTGAAAGACCCCACCTCACTTGGGTTGCCAACTCTATCATTTCAAACTTGTCTCTCATCACTCTCTCTTACACGTAGCAACAAAATTTAGCTTGCATCCTCCCTTCCTTCTGCAATTGTCCCCCCAAGGAAATGTCCAAATCCTCTGTCTCAAATGCTTGAATCCAAGGTTATCCCCCCTTCTCATTCGCCTTTCTTGCACACGCCCCACTTCCACACTGAATTCCCACAGGTTCACAGCCTCGCTCAGTTTTCAGATCAAATGTCACTTCTACTCAAGACATCGCCCAAAGTCCCTGGCACTTACAACTCTGTCAGAACACCCCATTTTTATTTTGAAACCATTTACCAATATCTTTCCTGTATTTCTTCGTAAGCTACCTGTCACTCTTGGAAAAGTACAACATCTGTCAAAGCAGGGACCCTGTCCATCCCTGCTCGTCCAGATCAGCCATGGAAGGCATTAGCTAAGGACCCACCAAAGGCAGGAATGGGTCTGCGACTCTATGACGATGGTTACTTGTGCACACGTCTTTCTCCTGGTATATTCCAAACTCCTTGTGGACTCGGCCAAAGTCTGGCTAATCTATTTGTTTGAGTGTCTTATCCAGAAAGCCTTGCACAACTGAAGCCAAAGAACAGATAACTGCTAATTAATTAATTAATTAACGAACTCCCCAAGAGGTTACAGCCCGGAACCAGAACCCCACACTGGCCAGAACCCGGCGCACACAGGAGTCCCCTTTTAGCCTCACTCGATTGCAGAACCTGTTTCCATCGACTGCACCCAGTGAGTTCCCAAGGGCTGTTGCTCACTTTCCTCCAGCCAGGAGACCTCACACTCCTGTCCTCTCCCTTCTATCTCTAGCCAACAAATCGCTGCCAGGGTCCAGTTTTGTTATTTTTTTTTCTTTTCGGTGAACCCCTAATCTCAAGTTACCTGGGGAGCTCATCAGGCCAGAGGGCACACGGGGATGCTAAAAGGATAAGCTGAACTATAACCAAGTCACTCACCTTTTTCCTTGATTGGAAACCGACCTGGCCTCACACATCAGCTCTGAGACTCTTACGGACCCTCAGCAATTCCTCCCATTCAGACTGCAGCACCCCAAAATTCCTCTGGATAGCCTCCACCCCTGCCTCCTACCTTTTCACCTTCCATGACGGGAAAACCCCTGACCCCAGGCCAGAGATAATAATCTTCCCAGAAACAAGTCAACCCCGTAGGGCAGCCCATCCCTCCCCACTCCCGGGATCACCTCGAGCGCCCCTCAGCTCCGGCCTCGGGCCGGGCCCGACCCTCCACCGCCAGCTCCACCGTCTCCCACCACTCACCTGAAGCGGCCCCCGCAGTGCTGGCATTGCTCGCCCACCCAGCCGGCGGGGCAGACGCACTGGCCGGTGCCAGGGTTGCAGCGGCCGCCGTTGACACAGGGCCGGTCACATTCCTTGGCCTCGGCTGCGGCGGAGCCCGACACCACCGCCGCCGCCGCCGCGGCCTCGGCCTCCCGAGGCAGCAGCAGCAGCCCCAGCAGCGGCGGGAGCAGCAGCAACAGCAGCCGCGGTGGCAGAGACGACGGCGACAGTAACCACGGGAGGCGCAGCCCGGTCCCCAAGCCCGGCCTCCCAATCCCGGTCACGTCCGAGCCCCGCTGCCGCCCGCCGTTCCTGCCCGCGGGCGCTGCCGTCGCCGCTGTCCTCCTCCTCAGCCTCGCCTCAGTCGCCGCCGCCGCCACCACCATCTTCCCGGGGCTGAGACGGCGCCCCGCGAACACATACACACACACACACTCACACACTCACACACACACACTCACACACCGCACGGCCGGCTCCGCTTCGCCTGGCCGTGCGGGGCGGGGCTGGGCGGACGGTGGCTCGAGCGGTCAATCCCGAGGGCGGGTCCAGAGCGCGTGGGCGGGGCGGCGTGCGCGCACGCGCAGACCGAGCTTCCCCAGCGCTGTCTCTGTGGCGATGCCGCTCCCCTCGGTTCTCTAGCAAAGCACCCTGAGCGCTTAAGCTTTCCTTCGCCTTTGGTCCGCGACGCTAGCAGCCCCGACGCGTCTCCCGTCCTGCTTACAAGCCAGCCTCCCTGCTAGCCCGGCAGGTCGCGATGAGGGTTGCGCTCGTGCAGACACTGTACCCACCAGGCTAAGAGACTTTATGGCCCCCAAAAGCAGTGTAACCACGCTGTCCGATCTTCCGTTTGGAATCTGGCATGAATCTGTGACTGCGTTAAACAGGTAAAAGATATAATGGAAGTTGCCACGTGTTTACTCCAGCTCAGAGCTTTTATTAATATATTTATTTGGAAGTCAGAGTTAGAGATGACCCGTCTGCTCGTTCACTTCCTAAATGGTCACAAAGCCATGGATGTGCCATGCCAAGCCAGGAACCAGGAGCTTCTTCTGGGTCTCCCTCATGGGTATCAAGGGCCCAAGCCCTTGGACCATCTTGCACTGGTCTCGCAGGGAGCCCCATTAGAACCGCAGCAGCAGAACCGGCACTGGTACAGGACGTGGACATCACAGGCCCCTAACTCTGAGCTTTTAAAAAGTCTTGTCAGCCTTGGTTTTTTGAGCTCCTCGTGGTGCCAGGCTGCGCCCTGTCTCCCACCTTCTTGGAGGGAAATCACTTTAGAGAAACCCCTGATAACTGAGGGGTGCTGAGCAGCTGCTTGGGGTGTTCCACACTACCTAGAACAGAGAACAGTCCTCCTTACTGTAACTTAGACAAATCCTGAGAACTGCTAAGTTCACTGCCAATTTAAATCTCTTCAGTTTCAGAGAGCTTTGTTACTCAGCAATGGAAAACCAGAGTATTATCTGACCATACCCTTGGGCTGTGGCGAATATTCCTGAGGTAATGACCGCAGAGTTTGGGCACCTGGCAGTCCTTGGCAACAAAAGCCCTCATACCGGTAAGGTCCCTCTATCTGACCTCAGAGCACACAATTCTAAGATCTAGATCGTAGTGCCACAGTCCTGCCCTCAGAAACCTCTATTTCACCTTCAAGCCTGATCAAATTGAACTGCCCAACAGCTTCACTCCCAGCCCTCCACCCGCAGGAAGCCTACTGTCCAGCCCAGGTCCTAGCACTGGCCTCCTGCTTGGCAGATTGTATGTTGCTGCAGTGTCCTGCATGGGACTGTGAAGTCAAGGGAGCACAGCTTATGAAGATAGGGCACAACCTTCTGGCCAGTCCCATCGGAGGGAGGAGCCTGCTGTGTGCCATGCAATGGCTGTGAAAGACACTGTTACCCCTACATTTCCAAGCCAGAGGCAGATCCAGCCTGTCCCTTGCTTCTCCACCGCTAAGCTGGGGCCAAGCTGTGAACATCTGATGTTACCAGCACTTGCACATTAGCACAGAGCTTGGCATCCACATAGCAGCCAGCCCTGTACAGGATGTGGCTGCTTTCTGAAGCTGGAGAGCCTTGTTAGGACAATCTTTCTTCCTCCTGTACCTATTCTTTTTTCTGGTTCTTTTTCCTTAGTCTTATATCATCTTCTGGTTATTTAAGTGGTTTTTTTTTTTTTAGGTTTTATTTATTTTTATTTGGGAGGCAGATTTTTATAGAAAGAGAAGGAGACAGAGCAAGAGAGGTCTTCCATCTGCTGCTTCACTCACTAAATGACCACAACCACTAGGGGTGAGCTGATCCCAAGCCAGGAGACAGGAGCTTCTTTCCAAGTCTCCAAGGTGGATGCAGGTATTATGGTCTTAGGCAGCTAGTACAGGGTCATGGGCTTGGAAGCCATGCCTCCCCCGCTTGTGTAATGCTTTTTGCTCACCTATGCATCAAAGAATGCTTACCTATCATTATCTGAGACCTGGGTGAGGTGGTGTTACATTGTATAACCATTTCCCTCTGAAGTCCCATAAAAATCTGTACTGGGAAGGGGCTCGCTCTCTTGGTCACATGCTTCTGTCACTCTGGCACTCCAACTTTTGGCCTCCCCGTACCTGCTTGCTCTCTAGTTTCCTGCGTGACAGAGTGTGAGGACACAGGTAGCCCCTGATTGTGGCCCCTGAGTATCTGAATTTCTCACCCTCTGTTCACTGCTTGAGTCAGTGAAGCTGCAAATGCTGAGATGCTTTGTTTCCTAATTTGTGTATTTTAAAGAGTTTTAGGAGAGGTGAGGACTAGCAGTAATGGAACGTGGGAATAGAAACCAGGGAAAGGTGAATGTCTGCAGCTTTGTAAGTGTGCCCAGGTTGTTTGTTCACTGCACATCTCTTAGGATAATTTATATTGCTGGAGAAGCTGGAACATGGGTCTTCAGTTTAATGGACGGATTTCATAGTAAGGACCATTTGTTCTTCTCGGGCTTTTAATTCAGACTGGATTGTCACTGTGACTTTTGATTTGCTAATTTCTGTTATCATGAGATAATTGGTTTCTTAGTAACTAAAGCTAGTAATTAGGAAGGTGGGACTCCAGGCATGCTGGAGCAGTGGGTCCTGCCATTGCCAAGCTTGGCTACTAAAGTTAGTATATGCTACGCTTATGTTTGGCAGGATTTCTCTTGCACCCCACGACACAGGGTCCCAAGGCATCCTCTGCTGCTTTCCCAGGTGATAAACAGACAGCTGGATTGGAATTGGAGCTGCCAGGACTCAAATGGGCACCCATATGGGATGCCAGTACCACAGGCAGAAGATTAGTCTGTTTAGTTGCCATGCCACCCTTGGTTATTTAGTCCTAAAATGAAACAAATTCTGACCTGGGAAGGGAAGGATTGCTATCTTCTTTTCCTGTGCTGTTATTAATTAGAGTGCACATACTTTCTACTTCTGTGTAGTCAACTAAAGATAGCTACAGATTCTCTCTAATTCTTTCCATGATAAGACATCCTGATTCCCCCTCTCCTCCACACTCGGCTGGCTGTACTGTTTTGCTAGATGCCCTGGCCCCAACCTTAGCCATAACAGCCACTGGGGGCATGAAACAGTGTACAGGAGACATTCCTCGCTCTGTTTTCAGCTCTGTATAACTCTGCCTTTTAAATAAAGGTCTAGGGCCCTGCTGCGTGGCCTAGTGGCTAAAGTCCTCACCTTGAACGCACCAGGATCCCATATAGGCACCAGTTCTAATCCCATCAGCTCCACTTCCCATCTAGCTCCCTGCTTGTGGCCTGGGAAAGTAGTTGAGGACAGCCCAAAGCTTTGGGACCCTGTACCTGTGTGGGAGACCTGGAAGAGGTTACTGATTCCTAGCTTCAGATCGGCGCAGCACCGATCTCGAGCCAGGAGCCAGAAACTTCCTCTAGGTCTCCCACGTGGGTGCAGGGTCCCAAAGCATTGAGACATCCTCAACTGCTTTCCCAGGCCACAAACAGGAAGCTGGATGGGAAGCAAGGCTGCCAGGATTAGAACCAGCGTCCATATGAGATCCTGGCGCGTTCAAGGCGAGGACTTTAGCTGCTCAACTACCGCTCTAAGCCCACAGTACACATTCTTAAATTTTGTTTGCTAAGCTGTAACATAGAGGAAGAAGAAGCAATAAAACATACAGCTCAATAAATGTTCATAAGGCAGACATCCTCAAGGATGGCCGGGTCAAGTGATTTCCCAGCTCAAGGGTTCAGATTAAGCTAGCCCAGCCCTGGCTTTTGCAAATTGATTGACATACTCACTTTCCCTCTTTCTCTCTTTGTCTCTTCCTCTCTCCACCTTTCAAATAAAATTAAGAAAAAAAGACATCCTTTTATCCTTCACTAAGATTGAAAAAGTAAGCTATTATCAGGACCCCGTTTATCTCCTCCCCAACACTACATCCACCAGGGAGCCCATGTCTTCACTTCTTATGCCATAGGTTAGTTTTTGCTAACTTAAAAAAATTTTTTTAATTATAGATAAAATGAATTTTCAATAAGATTATTTCATGTCTGATTTCTATTACTCAGCATTGTAAGATTCACTCATGTTGTTTGATATATTTTATATTTTATTGTATAAAAATATAAATGTATAACCATGATACAACAATTGACTGAGCTGTTTCGCTCTTGAGCATTTGGAAATTTCCAAATTGAGGCAATTATGAATAATGATGCTGTGGCTAGACTAGGAATCTAATACAGGTCTCTGGGTAAACATTTGTACACCTTTCTGTTGGGTTTACATCGAAGGTATGTTGATAAATGTTTAACAGCCAGTTCACTCGGGGTGGAGAAGGCCCTCATGCGTAGCAGTTGGTTGATTTCTTTGGTGTAAATACCCCCATCGTGACCTATTTTACGCTACCCAAGTGAGTGCAAAATTGGAGAAAGCAGCCTGGATACTGCTCTCTTGAGCATATAGGAGCCAGCTCCAGCCTAGGAGAACTACCAGGACACAGAAGCCCAACAGAATTATTTGTTCAGCAGATTTATCGTGGGAAATAATCTTAAAGGATAAAGGGAAGAAAGCTGAGAAAGACAAGGAGAGGATTCAGACTGGGATAAAATAATGACAGCTGTGAAGGAAAGGTAGAAGGGAAGATTGGTTGATTAGCGTCTCAGACCTCAGTTCTCTGTCCCAGGCCACTGGGGAGTCCCAGAGCTGCAGTGGCCTGTTGGACCAGCACTGCATCTGTTCATCCTATTGACCCCTGCCTGAATCAGTCTGCAGCAGCAAAAACACAATGATGGAACCAGAGGGGCTGCAGCTGGGACCACCAGTCAGTAGTATTCCCCTCAGCAGGAGATCTGAGTGAGGTACTTCTTGCTTGTCACACCCAGCATCATTCATTTGCACATTCATTTGCTGGCTTCTCAGTCAGTGTCTCCTCCAGATGTTTCACAACTTTCATATACTAT